CCGATTTTTGCGTTAACAACCTGGTCTTTGGAACATCGACATGTCTATAAGTGAGGAGTGGGTGTGAATACATATATATGACTTATTTAGGAGCCCTGATGGTGCATTGGTTGAGCACTCAGCTGCTAACTAGAAGACTGGTGGTTTGAACCCACCAGCGACTCCCTAGGAGAAAGACCTCTTGATTTGCTTCCATAAAGATTACAGCCTAGGAAACCCTATGGGGCAGTTCTACTCTGTCACTTGGGGTCACTATGAGTTGAAAATTGACTCGATGATGCACACGAACAACATGATTTATTTATAACCTCATTTAAAAAGTCTTCATGAATATACACATTGATGCTATTTGTAAAGTACAGCATGGAAAATCTCAAACCCTGTGAACAACCCTGAGTTTAAGAAGGCACATACATGAACATATGAATGCTCCTGGTGTGAAATTTGTTAATCCGCACTGCTCCATGCAAATAACATCTTTCAAGGTGTTTTCTCACCATTTATACTTTGTAAAACTGTCTTCCCTCTTCTTGGGGAAGCCATCATAGTCTAGGGAGAAATAAAGAAGATTAGACTAAGAAACAAGTGGGACCAACTGAAGGTTGGAGCATAGGCCAAGATCACCTTTGGTACATTGAGACATTTCCTTCATTTATGGATGATTTCCTGACCTTTGTGAACTGGAAGAGAATCTCCAACATCCTCTACTGTCATCCACTACCACAATATAAACATACAAGGAAAATCGGTGAGAAAATGGATAAAAGCTCACCAAGTTTGCAAATATGAGAGAACCAGAACTGATATTTTCTGGTTCTTTTTCCTCTACACCACAGCTCCGACTAAGAAAATGAATTGTATACACTTAAAATATTATCTTTGCAAGTGCGACAGGAATAAAACTTTTAAGATCAGGGTATTTTTAGAGAAATTAGCTGCAGGGTGAAGGAAGATATCAGCAACTGCTTTTCTAGTTATGCTGCTATCAGTCCTCTGCCACTGCCACTTCTCTGCTGCTTCCAGTCCTCTACTGCTGCTGGTTCTCTGCTGCTGCTGGTCCTCTATCCATTCACAGTTTCAAAACCACGTCCATATTTTAGGTATCTGTTAGAGAAGCACCCAACTCCTGGTACCAAATTCTGTCTTAGTCATCTAGTACTACTAAAAAAGAAATATCACAAGTGGATGGCTTTAACAAAGATAAATTTATTTTCTCAAAATCTAGTAGGCTCCAAGTCCAAATTCAGGGCATCAGCTCCAGGAGAAGGCTTTCTCTCTCTGTCAGAAGGAAGGTCCTTGTGATTCATCAGTCTTCCCTTGGTCTGGGAGCATCTCAGGCAGGAACCTCAGGTCCAAAGGATACGCTCTACTCCTGGCGCTGCTTTCTTGGTAGTATGAAGTTCCCAAGTGTCTCTACTCACCTCTCTCTTTTATATCTCAAAAGAGATTGGTTCAAGACACTATCTAATCTTGTAGACCTCATCAGTATAACTGCTGCTAATCCATCTTATTACATCATAGTGATGGAGTTTACAACACATACGAAATCACATCAGATGATAAAATGGTACACAATCATACAATACTCAGAATCATGACCCAGCTGAGTTGACACATATTTTTGGTGGACACAATTCAATCCATGACAGCCATGAGTTCCAGTATTGTGTGATTGTCCACCATTTTGTCATCTAATGTTATTTTCCTATGTGTTGTAAATCCTATCTCCATGATGTTAATGAGAGGGGATTAGTGGCAGTTATGTTAATGAGCTAGGACTCAATCTACAAGGTTAGGCTGCACCTTAAGCCAATCACTTTTGAAATATAAAAGAGAAAAGTGAGCAGAGAGACATGGGGATCTCCTACCACCAAGAAAGCAGCCCTGGGAGCAGAGCAGGTACTTTGGATCCAGGGTTCCTGCATGAAGAAGATCCTAGACCAAGGGAAAATTGATGACAAGGATCTTCCTCCAGAGCTGACAGAGAGAGAAGGCCTTTGAACTAATATTTTCCTTGTGTCTTTGATTTTCTTCATTCCACTTTGCTCTGGACAAGGTAGGGCCAATAGATGTATATCAGATGGCCGCACACAAGTTTTTAAGGCCCCAGATGCTACTCACCAAAGTAGGATGTAGAACATTTTCTTTATGAAGTATGTCAGTAGACCTCGATGTCCCCTGAGACCATGGTCTCTTGTCCTCACCCCCAGTAATTCACTCCCTTCTATGACTTTGTCTTGGACAAGTTGTACTGACTTTCCCTATATTGTGTGTTATCGTTCTTTCCCTTTACCAGAGTTAACACTTGTCTACTATCTAGGTAGTGATTTCCCCTCCCTACCCTCTCCACCCTTGTAACCATCAAAGATCGTTCTTTTCTATGTGTAACCCTTTTCTTTTTAAGTTTTATAATAGTAAACAGATGAATGTTCCTGATGTGAAATTTGTTAGTCAGCACTGCTCCATGCAAATAGCATCTTTTGAGGTGTTTTCTCACCATTTATACTTTGTAAAACTGTCTAAGGAGAAATAAAGAAGATTAGACTAAGAAACAAGTAGGGCCAACTGAAGACTAGGGCATAGGCCAGGATCACCTTTGGTACATAGAGGCATTTCCTTCATTTATGGATGATTTCCTGAGCTTTGTGAACTGGAAGAGAATCTCCAACATCTTCTACTGTCATCCACTACCGCAATATACACACACAAGGAAAATGGGTGAGAAAATGGATAAAAGTTCACCAATTTTGCAAATATGGGAGAATTAGGAGTGATATTTTCTGTTTTTTTTTTCCTCTACACCAGAGCTCCCACTAACAAAATGAATGATATACACTTATGGAGCCCTAGTGGTGCAGTGGTTAAATGTTCAGCTGCTAACCAAAAGGTCAGCAGTTCAAATCCACCAGCAATTCCTTGGAAACTCTATAGGGCAGCTCTACTTTGTCCTATAAGGTCGCTACGAGTTGGCATCCACTTGATGGTATTTTTTTTTTTTTGTAATTTAAACATTATCTTTCCATATGTAACAGGAATACAAGTTTTCAGATGAAGAGTACATTTGTAGAAATTACCTGCAGGGTAAAGGAAGATTTCAACAACAGTTTTTCTTTCCAAAATTCCACATGAGTACTGCCTAAAAATGTCAGGGTACTTAAGATCCCAAGAGAAAGAAGAGAAGTGATAACCTATATTGAAAAGGAGGCAAGAAAGACCATAGCAGAGCAAGTCAGGGTCTAGTTTTGATGTTGGTTGGTGGCGATTACCTCATGGTAAGAACTTCCAGTTCAGGAAGCTGAAAGTGGACAGAGATTTCTACAGCTATGTGGGCAAATGTCTAATTTTGGTGCTTACTTTTAAGAAGTCTGTTGTTGATGTATACATAGACCCCATTCTCCAGCAATGGATTAAATTTGTTTATTGTGACAAATTCCCTGTTTGGTTTCTCCCAAAAGAGACTGGCCTTTCTGAAGTCTGTTTGAACATGGATCATAGTTATTTTTTGTTAATCCTTGTTTTGTAATTTACCAATGAAGGAAAGGTCAAGGGGAATCTACCCAAGTGTGTTTAATATTACGTTGATCTCTTCCTATATGTTATTTATGGAAGAAATAGTGGACGGGAGACTGGCTGCCAACTTAGGATATAGAATTTGGCTTTCGTGCATAAATCAAAGTTATGTGCTTTCCCTCATGTCTGTTATCTCAAATGTGACCTTTTTTCACTGTTCCTGGCAAAGTAAACAGCAACAAAAAGACCCAAGCCCATAGCCATCAAGTCACTTCGAGCTTATGGTGAACCCATGTGCTACAGAGTAGAACAGCTTAATAGGTTTTTCTCGGCAGTAATCTTTACAGAAACAGATCGATAGGTTTTTCTTTCAAGACACTACTGGGTGGGTTTGAACTGCCAGCCTTTCAGTTTAGCAGGTGATCATAAACAGTTTATGCCACCCAGGGACATCCTGGCAAAGTACCTTTCACTAAATATTTGGAAAGTTTTATGAATTTAAGAGCATGACTGAAAATTCCTACTTTCACAATTTGACCATGATATTCTTGGATAAGTCAGCTCACTAATGCTTTGTAACAAGCTATTCTAAAACTTATGCCTACATGAGAATCATATAATTCTTATTCATGTGTGTGTGGGTCAGGTGCCATTCATCTGATCTAGGCTGGGCATTTCAGGCTTCAGGTTCGGCTCAGGTACTCTTATGTGACTGTCGTTCTTCTCCTGCATCAAAGAAAATTATTAACTTATTTTTTGTTGTTTAGATTGTATTAAAAATTGGTCACCATACAAGAACTAGAAACATTGAAGTGAAGCATCCCCACCCAGACACTACAAAAATAGTGAAATTTGGGAAATCTTGACATGTGAGAAATGTTTTAATCACCTGGAAATATTAAATGAGAAAAAGGACAACATATGGAGGAACATGAAAGATACTTTTACATATTCCATTGAGCATTGCATGGAAATGTGTTTAAAATATTTTGTGCTGCTCTAGACAACAGAAGTATAACTAACAGTTAAAAAGTACAGGGAGACATATTTTTATGGTTTTCCGTTAAGAAATAAGTTAATTTCTTCATCTGGAAAATGAGAATGGTTGTCATTTATTTTCATTAATGAAAGCTCCAATCAAAACCACATCTCCCATCTTGTGACAGCAGGGTTATAAAGCTATTATAAAACATAAAATATTGTGATGATAAATCTATGGAATAAAATGCTATTGTTGACCTGTCTTGTCCCCACTGAAACTGGAGAGAACCTGAATTCTCATCATCCTTGGTCATTTCCTTCCAAGGATCCAAGAGGAGACTCTCTGAGCTCCTCTGATAGGGTTTGACTTTGTGAACAAGGGTAAGTTTATAAAGTCACTGGAGGAGACTGGAGTACTGTTTCATATGTTCTCCTTCTTGTCCTTTGAGAGTCGTGAATCTGGCATCTTCTACCTTCTTAGGGACCTCAGACTCTTAATATCAATAATATTATCCCCCAATCTTCAAACTTGTATTGCAAAGGAATAAGGGAAAGAGTATTGTGAAAAAAATTATCAAATGGATAACAATGATTTATTCCACAGTTTTCTAAATTCAGTTCAGTTTTAGCTCCCTTTGTGGTGGTTATCAGAGCAGATGGGCACATATATGCAAAAGTAAGGCTCTTTAGATTCATTGACTCACAGACCTCTTAAGCTCTAACAACATCAAATATCATCTAGTCTCAGTGTTTCCAAATCCAAGTTAGTTGACTACATACAAATTACCAGGGAAGCTTGTTAAAAATAAAGATTTCTATATACCATTTAACCCTGGCCTACTGAGTAAGAATCTCTTTGAACAGGTTCTGTTGTCTGTTTAAAGATCTCTCAAGGTGATTCCAATGATCAGCCAAGCTTGAGAAGCACTGATCTAGCCCTCATTTTAAAATTGAGGAAATAGAGGCCTATAGATCCCCAGTGAATCTATGTCCATTCTGGAACAATAACCATGGATTCACATATACGTGATCCTAGGGCAAGAGTTTTTGATTACAACTTCTAATGTTAAATGTCTTGCTGATTTTTGTTCTTTCTTCTTTTTAACTCTGTGATTGTGTCAACATCAGCAAGTATTTTTTAAACACTATGTACAGTCCTTAACGTACGAAATGTTTGCACACACACACACACACAAACACACACACACCTTGCAACCACAAACAGGCATGAAGGATATACATAATAACTGGATAATCAGAATTGTGGCAAAGAAAATGAAACACTAGCAGAGAGATAATCAGTGATATGTTCACCTGCAGCAGGGAAAAAAAAAAAAGTCCAGGTTGCTTTCCAAGGTGAAGGAGAAAGGTATTACCAGGACAAATTTTCAGTTCACATGAGAGAGGCATTGTTTGTTTGACCTGAATGAGTCTCTCTAGAATTCACAGATGGAGATTGGGTTAATTAAGTCAAGGAAACTGGAAAATCACTCACTGTATTCAGTAAACTTTCTTGGTCAAACATGGAGGATATAGGTAAATTAATAAAAATTGTGTTTACCCTGTTGACCGAATCACAGTCACCAATTCATCACAAGTGACTGTTTTCATTCAGTCTCTTCAGCTTCTTCTGTTAGTCATTTCACATTGAACTGCTGGCTATAGATTCCTGGTAAATATTAGAGTCATTTAACAGCAGCATATTCATGGGCTATTACAATTATAAAGTGGTAAACTTGTCCAATACCCTTATTGTTTGTGCAGAGAAAATGAGTCCTCTAGAAAACAACAACAAAAAAAATGTTTTGTTTTGCTTTTGTTTTTTTTCCCCAAGACCAGAGAAAATATCATTTGTCTTATAAGCCTGTGTTTTATACCTATTACATTCTGTGCACCTTTCTCTTCCCATTCCAAACTTTCCAGGCTTAGTTTTCACAAGAATCTGTGTTTTAGGAGAACTTATATCAGCATGTTTTGGTTG